TTATAAACGTATTAATTATAACGTTACATAAATTATAACTTGCTCACATAAATATTTTGAACCTGTATTTTATTATTTGTTGCACTCTTTTCATTGCTAAGAAATGTCATAGTATTAGTCATACGACGTACAGTATATCAGTTAATATGTTCACTATACAATTCAACAATGTAAAGATTGTAAAAAAAAATAATAATCAGTAGTTGAGGATCTGAACGGACTCGAGCGTTATACGGCTAGAGTTAATACTTTATTAGTAAAAATAAGGGAAATGTTTCGAATGTTTACCAAATTTAATAAAACAAGGGACATGTTTAAAATGCAATACATATTTTGGATATTTTTTTTTCAGCGAAGTTGTCGATATTGACATTGAGGACAATGGGGATGGCACTGTTAGCATTTATTACACAGTCGCTGATGCCGGCGATTACACGCTCAGCATCAAATTCGGGGGTCAACCTGTACCTGGTGGATTTTACACCTTTACGGTAAGTCACTGTTGCACTTTACTGGTTATTAATATTTCATAACTAATATTTTCTTCTGGTCCTGTAACGTAACTGTTGCTATAGATGTAGTGTGTTTTAAAAAATTTACTTCTCATAAAACGATCCAATCTTAAATGTGTACTTACGATAAATTCTCCTAATTGAATAAATACTTGAAAATCAGCGTTATCGACCATGACATTTCTGTAATGATTTTGAAATAAAATTTACACGGGATGAAATTTCACGTATGATAGCCTTCAAATATTATTATAATTCGTTTGTCAAACTATTTAAGTTTACGAAATGAAAATTGAAGAAATTAAGAAACTAATAAAATTATGTTATTAATTATATTATATAATAAAATGATATTATTAATTACACGATTAAAGTTTTAAATGATTAAAAAAGTTGGAATTAATCACTTTCGCGTGCGAACAGTTTAAGTGTTACCATCATTTATAAACTGTTCACGCTTTAACGAACACGTAATGACAGTGTAATAATTATTATATATTGCTACTTAGACACGAAGGTACACCTTTATAGAACGGTTTCCTTTGTTACGAGATTCAGAGTGAATAATGTCTTTACTGTTAAGACAATGGAACGTGTCTTGTCATTTATGACTTTCACCCGACGTTCTCAGATTTATCGTCGACCATCACTTGCTGACAGCTCTAGTTAGAGCCACATATCTCTTTTCGAGACTGCTCTTAGTTTAACAATAATTGCCGATTCTTATTAAAATAGCATCTCACCGTTTTAGACACCACTTTAAACGTGTTGACTCTGACAGGCTTTTGACGTACAATAACAAAGACGAAGTGGATCAACAGATAAATGGACAGTTCGTATGCACATTGAAATAGTTTAAGATTAATTTATCACATATATTGATTTAATATTGTTTACATTGTGAAAGTTTAGTATCTTCTAGAATACACGTGTTTGAATAATTGTTTTCGCACGATTCTAATAACAATTATTGTTATTCGATTAATTTCTTATTATTAAATTCTTGTTATTAAATTATTGATTTATATCAATCAGTTAAGAAAACTCACTGAGAAAAATTCGAATTTTTAATATATTATTTAAGCTGAAAACTAGAGACACATTAGAGGTATCGGGGAAAATATATTTTCTTTAAAAGAATACTATAAATTTCTATAGTTTTTGTAAATTTCATCAGAGTTGCAATGTTATCGCGTTCTATTTAATTTGCCAATTTCGATTCCGACTCGATTTCACCTAATTACACTGTTCCAGAAGTAGCAGTAAGTGACTATCTTAAATGCACATTTATAATATTTTATCCATAACGTTTTAAGACATATAATATTTTATCCATAACGTTTTACAACATCTCAGATTCGTGTTGGCATATTTTCAATTAAATTCTGCATAATTCCTCAGAGATTAAATACCAGTGTTTTTGGACCCGTTCCCATAATTGATTTAATGTATACATTGAGGTCAAATGCATTTTGCAACTACTTCTTTTAATATTGTTCATAGATTTTCAATAGGGTTCAGTTTTATACTTTCAGCTAATGATTTCAATCAATTAGGCACGGTATTTGCCACAATGATGTCATTTTCTACAAGTGTGTTCTCCATAGCTTATATTTCTTCATTAAACATGTTCTTATGTCAGTATTTTATTAATTTTTCTGTAGTTTATTCTTATAAACTCAATATAAATTGTCATCTTGTGGAAAAGTTCCTTTATTACTTTAGTTTTTTTCTTTGTTGCAAAAACAAATTTCAAAAAAGAAAGAATACTTCGTTTATATTATACTTTGTATACGTTATATACTAGATTACATATTTAATTTTTTAATAAACAAATAAGTTAACCGTCAGTGCGACTCAAACTTTGTAGATAAATGAATATTTAGTAGTATCAAGTGCTAACAATATTTCTTAATTGTTTATCAACAGCCTTGAATATTTGTTAAGTGTCAGAAATTTTGTTCTATAGTGAACTCTCTATATTAGGGAGTGATTTCGCAGTCACATACTAATGTATTGACAGCTTGTCGATTTATTCAATTTTTGCCAAATTAAATTAAATAATTAATTTGTATTTACAGGTCGATATTTGTTAATTTCAGTAGTACATAAACTATTTTATAACTACGAAAAAATTTCGAACTATAAAGGATTCAAGTAAAAAGTAATTAGATTTCTGTTTGAAGGCATCAATGAAGTAATCATTCTTGACTTACTAATCGTTCTTGCTACGTATTTGATATTAAGTGCACCTATAAGATAATCTTTTAGGCGATAAAGCAGGTGTTCAAATGTAGGTGCCAATGCGAGTTTGGCATTGCATAACTTACTGTAAGTACAGAGTATTTCACAATATTTGGGTAAAACTTTAGTGAGAAATTCAGTATTGAAACACAGGAGGAAAAGTTCGTGTAAACGGTCATTTGATACCTGTGACCTTGTTTCCGATTTATAATCGTTTTGGTGCCGCAGTAATTATTCAACTGTTACGAAAATTGTTCTTAGAATGAGCACCCTTGGTCAGAATTCAAGTTCCTAAATGTCTTATCATAGATAATCTATACTATTCAAAAAACGTACAGAAGTATTCCAAAAATATTACGAAATGGTGAATATTTATATAATAATAAAGGAAGCGCAGCGCATTTGGAGTACCAGTTTGTTAAAGACGAAGAAAAAATTATAGAAGAGGACAGAAACAAGTAACACTACATTTTATTATAGAAAAACTAATAAACTTTTATATTTAAAATTGTCAGTGCCAATAAAAACAAGAAATTAGTGGAATTTTGTATTAATTAGAAAATGACATACAAAGTAACGATTTCTTGACGGTGCAGGTAATTCAAAATAGTGATATTGCAATTTATCTTCATCCTATGACATATTTTAAACCATAATTTTATCGATTGAATACACATTAAAATAACTATAAAATGGGCAGTTTTTTATTCTTCTGTAAGTTAAATCGAAAATTTTAAAATTGCAATTTCTGCTTAAACTATATTGATTAATAAACCATTCACCTTTATTATACCTTAGCCTACTTCTATTATAAAAATTAAGTACTATTAGACATTTCTTAGATGCTTTGGTTTTAAAATTACCAATAATATTTCAAATATACTGACTTTCCTCTACTTATAATATAATTATAATAACATTTATAATATATAATAATACTGTTTACGTAGTAGTTGATGAAGTCAAAAATGAGATACCGAACGTTACTTGTAAATTAAGTAAGATATCAAATGTTACCTATACGTTAAATAAAGAGTTTTGTTTATTAACCGTTAGCGTGACTCGACATCGGTTTTATTCACAGGTGTGATTCTTTGTCAAGATATTTTCAAAATAGATGGTATTCTTATGTCATTTTCAATATTATTAGTAAGAAGAATCGTTTACAGTGCGTTACTGACAGCCGACCTGTGGTTTAACCCATTGCGAAGATTCTTCGAAATATACAAAACTTTCGCCATATGAAGCTAAATTATATATCAATTGCTTAATTAATCGAAAGAAAGAAAACTACGTGCTGATCTCTTGATGTTCCATTAATTAGATCATTTGTCCACGAGTTAGTCTTCCAAATCTGAACATTTCATCTCACCGATATCCCGACATCCGTCCGCAAAGGGTTAAAAGTGAAAGGGGGCAAGGGGAGACGTCCACTCGCGGCGCTCGGTCCGATAGTAATGGCGGAATTAGTTTCGGCGCGTCTTTGTTACTGGCCGAGCCACGAGATAAGAAACCATGTCAGTAATGCACTGTACACTGTGCTCTCTAAAAACCAACTATTTTTAAAACTTCATTTCAAATAAAATATCGTAATAATACAAAGTTACCGAGGAAAAAATGCAAAAGAAATTCGGAGTGCAAAGGTTAAAAAAGTTGCTGGAAGACTAAAGGATAAAACTACGAAATAGAAACGAACGTATATTTATATAAACTCTCTTTTATTTGTCTGTGCCGAATTCCTTGCTGAAGTTATATCCACATATTCAGGAGCACCTTGTATATTATAGTCGTGTATTATTGTCCAAACCGTGAAACTGTCAAATCCACTAAGCTTATGTATTCTTATCGTGTCCACACTCTCCTTCTCCTTTGTTTATAGACCACTGTCTCTACTAAGTGCAAGAATTATATGCATTGAGAGTTCTTCTTTGCCAAAGATTGGATAACCAATTGTTTACCTGCACACTTCTATTTGTTAACAGATTCTTCTTCCGGTAAATTTGTCGCTTTTATAATACTCGTTGCCGGCGAAAATGCAGGAAATCTTAAGCTAATCACCGGAAACTTCTGACGTTAAAAGAAGGACAAAAATTAGAAAATTTGTTTTGAAACATTAGCCTTATAGCGATCTGTAGTTTCAAATGAAGAACTTTCCGTTATAGAAGTCGCAAATGGAAAAGAGCAGGAAAATAGTTTGAAAGTTATTACATTTGAAAATACGTGAATACACATTAGCGGTCGCCAATGTGTTAATGAATGATTCTATCTAAATGTGTTTTGTTTCACATTTAGGAAGCTTGCTAGAAAAGAAATACGCCGAAAGTTATATACACCTTTCACTTTTTCTAATACTAAATTTCATGAGAACTTACTTATTACTTCTTTACATTGCAATCTATTTTTTAGGAATGTTAATAACACTTCATTCAAATGATTGCATTTTCATCGAGAAAGTTAGCAATAACTATTCAACAATGAATGATTATTTATCAAGCCGTCTTACATTTAGCATAACAAACGCCAAAATTGTACAAAAAATTACCATCGTTTAGAACACATTCTTATCTTCAATTAAATCTACTTCATCATAGAACAAAAATTCTATATTTTTATGTCATATATTTAAAAAACAATTGCAGAAAACGTACTCACTTCCTCTGCAATTGCAATAATTTTTTTAATATAATTGCCGTCAAGATAAGAATTTTTTAAGTAACTCGTTCAAAGGAGCTATCTCCCCGGCGACACAATAATTGCAGAAATCAGTAAAGTACCCTAAAAGACAGGTACAAAAGAGCGACAAGGTAGCTGGCAAACGGGCGGCGAGAAGTCGGTACCAGGAATGTTTCTGGCAACTCTATGAACGTTGATACAGGGAATAATATATCGCAGCACACGGAAACTATCTTGAAATAGCAATGGCAGAACAGTAGAACCTCGATTATCCGATTTAATTGGACGATTAACAACTGAAATGAAAACAAAAAGAAGTTCTTCAAAACATATTCGGAAAATTTTGATTGCACACAGGATGAGTCACCTAACGTTTCCACCTCAAATATTTTTTTTTTTGTTTTTAAAGATATGTCAAATGTCTTAAACATAGATATAAAGAGATATTAGCAATAGCCTGATACGCGTAAAGATGGTAGTGTTTATCTGACAATGTTTATCAATTTGTCACGTACTCTTATTTTGTGCTGTTGTCTACGATTTCCACAGTTCAGTATCATTTCATTACCGAAGGAAACAATAATATGGTATCAACATAACGGCTGCCCTGAAAAGAAAACAGAAATACAGAAATATTTTTGGTATCATGTAAGCCCCACTGAACCATTTAACTTTGTCCTTAAGACATTTGACGTATCTTTAAAAACAACAAAGATATTTGAGGTGGAAACGTTAAGTGACTCACCCCGTATATCGTGGGGTATAATCAAGTATAGAGTTTCTATTGGATCATCCTATAAATAATGCGGTTTTATAAAATTTCTTTTATTTTTAAGATATACAAATAAACAACATTTTTAAAAATCTAATTATAATATCTAATAAATACATAACTTATAGAAAATGAGGAAGAATATATTTTTGATTAAAAAGCGTTTTGTTTATCTGAATTTTTAAACATAAAAAAGTATATAATTACTATTTAATTTATCGGATGATCTAATAGATGACCAAAATTTTGAGCGATCTAGATTGCACAACATTCAACACAACATTCACAAGACCGTTGTCAAACCAAGCTTACGAACTTTATGGGACTGTAGCTAGTAGACCCACTAATAATACTATAAATACAAGTTAAACATGCTATTAATTTATATGTCACATTCTTGCGATATTCTTCCAATGAAACTCAAGGAAGATAAAAGGTTGGACACCTTTGATCTAGGTGTTAACATATTACTTTGACATAGTAAACATATCGCGGGAACTTATTGAACCCACTTCGAATACATAGAATGCAAAGAGATCAGGAATTCAGTGATGCGCAATACATCGTATTCATCGCGTGATATTCTGCCATATCTGTCAGTGAGACAATATTTCTGTATAGCAAAGCCAAGGAATATTAATGTTATATAGACTGATTAAGTGGCATCATTTGCTTGTCAATACTTGTGTTTGTAGTAAAGAAGTTCGTACGATATCCTACAGTTGAATATTAAAATATTTATTACTCAATTAACGAAGATTAGTTTAGTAATAAATATTTCATTGTTCAATTATATTATAGTATCTAAATATTTTAATCCACGATTTACAAAATTATGGATTTGAAGTTTTCAGAACCCAGTATTATACAGTCATCACTGTTAAAATGTTGAATGTGAATTGTTCTTTTTATAGAAATTATTCTGACATGTTGTGAATATCGTTATGTTCTCACGAGTTAGTTCTCTGTCAAAGTACATACTTTGTTAAAACTTGGGTCGTCAGTTTTTATCAACGAGAACTCAAAGGTTTTAGTTATTCAACTAAAGAGCCATCAAAGGAATTATTCATAAAATTATAAAATTATTTTCAATAAAGTTATTTACCAGTGTGTTTCATAGTATTCAACATTATTCTGCGGTTTTTGTGAAAATACCTTTTAGTATTTTTGCTTTGATTTTTGTTTCGCTCAAGAGACTGCCATGGTTTGTTCTTCACTTAGGTGATGTGCTGCAACAGTTGTTTTCTGTTGCATGTCATGCAGACTTCTCTAGAGTTTTCACACGTCTCGCCGTTCCTGTCAGCAGAAGATACTGTAGCACATACTGTGAAACATTTATATATACATACTGTTTTTGAACCGATATGATCCGACGTAAAAGTTATTTGCGTTTCATATTAATTTTAATCAAATGTACTGTAATACAGCCCAATAATTATTCAATGAAATAACAATATATAATATAGTAAAGGAGCAGCAGCTTGCTTTTTAAAATTAGTATAATTCTCTTAGAACAAAGCTCTTTAACATTTAGATATCAACTTACTTAAAAAATAGAAACAATCTAGATATTTTTGTATACATTTTACATAATTATTACATACAATACAATCTATACACGAAGTTCTATACCTCTAAAACTATACTTCGAAAAAACTTAGTGTATAAATATCTTTTTCATTACCAGTTCACGCTGATGGATTCCATTTCAACAGCTGAAGTCTGCAATAGCACATTCTGTGGAATGTTTTCAATCTTTTGCGTTATGGAATCGCTTGAGGTCGTCCAATGTGGCTGGTTTTGTTGCATATACATATTTTAATGCCGCATCGCGTCGATTGAACTACCTTCGGAATTCTCCCACTCCCCGTGTAACTGCCACAAATTTTGTTAGAATGAATAGCTTAACGACAGTGCCACAGCCAGGCACATGCCAACGTTCTATGGCAAACAGAACTCTAAAATAATAGCCGTCATATGGTACCATGTGGGACAGCGAGCAATATTAATTCGTGACATCAGGAATTCCTATTTTGAAACAGTTGAATCGCTTGTTAAGTTTTTGTCGTATTGCAAAAGAATTTATGAATGAAACAGAATGCAAATCAATAGAGGAATCATTAACTCTTTTCTCTATGATTTCTTCCGTACTGCACTTCACAGAATTCGTTATTAGTAGTTTACTGTGCAGAGACAAAGAAGGATTCAGTGTTCATTTATATTCGTGTTCACTTAACTACGTAACGATTTATAGGAAAAAATAGCATTTAATTTTAAGTCAAAAAGATTCAATGATATTCGATTTTATTAACTTCTGTTTGGAACCTTCCTCGCGAATCTGACACGGTATTGTACGAAGAGGAGTTAATTATATGATAAAGCTTCTTTTACTCGAACTGAGCTTGACATAGCATCAATACACGGTTGAAATTTTAAGTTAAAAATTCTGAAACATCTTGTGCTTAGCATTTTTCTTTTTGATCTATGCAATGGTGTTTTTAGGACTTTAGTGCTCCCACACCCACGCTTCTGCTTCATAATTCCTTATAAAACCCATTTCACATTAAATTGAAAAATAACTTCTTTTAGTTTTCATTTAAAATACATTGAATTCAAATTGGAAAGATCTTTGGCAACTATAAAGTAAAAGAGTGGACGGTACTCTCACCTGTAAATATAGTCGCCTTCATTCCATTCTTTATTGTTTAAGTGAAACTAATTTAACGGAATCTTGTCACGGAGGGTATGTACTGACGTAAAACTCAAATGATGAACGCAAATTAAATGAAGAACTTTTATTCTATGTATTCGATTTATTTTTTGACATAGAGTCAGCTCTTATCCGATTGTACTATCAGTCAAGTACATGACATCGTGCATGTGCAAATCGTAAAGGATTGGGCACATACTCATAAATTATACTAAGCATTAATATCATCCACACCTTTACTCTGCTCCATCTTGCACAGTCCTCTTTACTTACTAGCTACTATATTTGTTCAACGTTACATTAGTCAATCGCTAACTCATATATTGTCACGCAACTTCATGGTCCAAGAATAACACTTAAGATGAAGTCAGTGAAATTAAGGTAAATGTAAAACGAGTAACTATTCGGTTAACGTTATATAGATATACATTTTTAACATGTAATATAAACACGTATATTTGTATACAAGTATATTTATATTTATAATATAGAAATAATAAATAATATAATCATATAATAATAATAATATAAATATACATTAGGCTGTCCTTAGAGCCTTGACTGGTTAATTATTAGTACATTCTCCTTAGCAGCGCTATTTTTCATGAAAATCATTTACAGAATCCTATTTCTCTTTTTATGGTAAAATCCTAAGTGGTCTCGTGTTTTGCAAAGTATGCTACTCGTATCGTTTCGCACCCAAGAATATTGCACCCACTTAAAAGCACTCTTAAGCTCATAAAGAAAGACTTTCGAGCAATTAACGTACACTGTAATATACCGCTATTCTTTGTCACGTCGTTTCCCGCTGTCTCATGGATCAAATAAAATACGATGGCCTACGCGACTTCGGCCGCCATTAATATAAACGCTTGGACGTTTGTCAAGCAAATTCGTTAATTATCACCAGGTACACGCAAAGAATTACGGTACAGCTGTCCCGAATGTTATATTAAATTCAATCCGATAAACTGAACTCGTTAACCGTGCTCTAAATAAATATACCCTGAAGAATTACGTAAAGCCTTTAATATCGCATTGTCGCCCTTCGCTTTATAGCTAAATCAGTTTTCGTTTTCATTTATATCTGGATAATTTCTTTAATTGATGAAACATACTTCTATATAATTTTCATTGTGTTTATAGAACATTCAAAATAATTAATACCACTTATCAATTAATGTTTACAGCGTTATCGTTAAAAACGAATCAAATAAACTTGATGAAACGTACTTACGTCGATGAAAATATGCCAGTGAGATATAATCGTCGCAAAGTTTCCCGTTCATATTCTAATTAATGGTATGGCCGGAGATGACCGTAAGACGTAACACTTGTCCAAGTACTGTCAACCGCACGCAACACGGGTCGAGCTGTTAAAGATTTAGCAAATTTATCGTATGATCCAGTTTGAAATTCAATACGCATCTTGTCCTCTGTGGAGGCCTCTTAAACTATTTCGAGTGCATGTCTGGCTTTCCCAAATTTATAAGCAGATGCTTTCGGACTGACCGGTGTAGGAGGAAACACGAAATTGATACAAAAAGTTTAATTAAACGCCTTTCACGTTAACTCGTGATCCACATTTTACGTAACTTCCTTATCTTGTTAAACGACCGTTTATAAATCTGGTAATTGTTATCTAAGAATTTTGCAGAGTCGATAGAAACTCTGCGTTCGATGGAAAATTTAATAATTTAAATTATTTACGTTAGTGGCGTAGACAGTATTTCCAGTTAATAATTGCACGACCATAAATTTATGGGAAAAACCTGTTTTTGTTCGAGTGATCTGTTAACTTGTATCTTATAAATGCTTTATAAACGAAATAGTGACCGTTGTGTAAATATAATTGAAAAGTGGTCTATGAATAGATAGTTTTGACTATGAAATGAAAACGGTGGTCTTTCATTGTTGAGAAACATTTTCTACACGCTACGCCCGATTAGTCATTTTAATCCTCTGCGTCGGTGGAGCTTTTTTCTTTTTCATTCCCAAAACAGCAACGTAGACGCTACATCTTGTCGCTCTGTCCAAGCGGGGAGCTTCGTTTCCGTCATGTACGATATCAAATGTCTACTTTAAAAAATTAGTCATCGATGTCCCTCCACAGATTTAATATTAAACATCAAACAAACAGGAATGTGATGCGTTTCAGATTAAATATATTGTTTCGCCGAATTTTATATTAAATCAAAATTGAATGTTTCGATTGGAGCTTAATATTGAAGATTGATGAACTATTGTAACTTTGACTTGATATTAAGAACTAGAAATTTTATTTACATACTAATTTCGAATTGTTTCTTTCAGCTTAAATTTGAACAAATATTTCAACTTAATTAACTATTTATATATGACATCAATGTTCGAATATCCCTTTGAAATATAGAGTTTCGTTGAAATTGTTATCAGGCTTTTATTTTCAGGCGTTTATTTTAGTTATCTGAATTTCTTAATTTCTTACTTAGTAAATATTTCGAAGTTGCACCTGTGGTTAAAGTGATTGAAACGTAGTTCAATTTTTACGGTTAGTATTCAAGAATTTCAGAAATTTGAGCTTGTTGGCAGCTACTTAAATCGCGTGAACTGACAATGAGCAGTATAAATATACAGGCTAAACCGTGCTCTTATAAATCTTCGCTTCGATCATCCATTTCGATAATATTCAATGTTCCATTATTTCATTACACTTTGCGCAGAAAGTGCCATTGTTTTTAGTATACTGATTATTACTTATTATTATCTCACGTATGATTATTCATTTTAGAAGATATTGCAATTATAGTCGAATAAGAGTATTTATTGTATCAATATGTTATTAGTATAATATTTATAATGTCAGTAATATCAATATTTGTTATATCAATGTTATTTAATCCAATACAGTTTCATTTAAAGACACGACAGAGCATCTGAAAGGAATTATCTAAACATTTATTTTTTATAAATATATGAATATTTAAAATCGAAGTGGAACTCTACGAAAAACATTTCTTTTATTATTATATTTACAATTTTGAGAAATTCAACGTTGCTTTAAGTTTCTCGTTTATTTATATAAAAATTATCACCACCCTGTGTCTCTTGATCAAAAAATCGGTGTATCACGTACATTACTCAAACAAACATTGAACTATATACTAGTACTATCACTAATTATTTATTATTATTACTATATACTAGTTACATTGTACTATATACCATATACTGATTCTATTAAACCACATACTACGTATTTATTGCACCAATCTATATACTATGATACCAGTTACTAAATTAAATTAGAAAATACAAAAAACAATATTAGAAAACTAGTATTAAATATTATTCATGATTTTAGCGATGCGTTTAATTCCGCGAAAGATATAATACGAATAATTACCCCGTTGTTAGGTTCCCTGGCATACGTTAGCTCCGCGAAACCAGGAAATATCAGGAAATTATAATATTAATCGATCGCCGGATAGTACTATACAATCGCGATGTACATCGTACAATCGTGTTACTATCGAAAAATGTTTTTGTAAAGTGGGTGAGTGGGGGCTGGCCAGCTATTATGGTAACATCCAATTCAGCATTGTGCCCGAAATTACCGTCAGTTACTACGAGTTTCGTGACGACCACCGTCCTGGCTGGTTCCTGCTGTTGTATATTTCTACCCGTTACTGTAAAGTGCAAATATAGGTACGCATCGAGCATTGAAAACCATAATCGATCCACGTCGAAAGTTATCACGATCGGAAACTATTCTGGAATATTTTGCCGCTGTTGACATTCCGCGGTAGTTACGTACGGTAGTTACACTTGTTGCGATTTCGGGGCTAACTATGATGGATAAACAATTAGTTTAGATTTTAATGGAAATCTCTTCATCGTGTGATACAATCTGGTTTATTTATCGATTCACTTATACACTTTTTGAATAATGGAAACATTTTATTTGAGTATTCTACGAGTAGTTTAGTATCGTAGATAATTTCTCGTGATTCGAACCGCCATTTGTCATTTTGTTTTCCGAGCACCGGGGTTTTTATCGCTTCGATTTGAATAATTTGTTAATTTCTTTGATTTTTCTTTTGATGTTACGTTAATGGATAATTTGTAATGCAAATTTCATATTAATATTACAATGACCGAGTTTCTAGAATTTAATGTACGGAGACTTGTAACCTGGAAGAATCGACAAAACAAAGCCTACTGTTTCAGTAAAAAGAATTTTTTGTATTTTATATTCATGATGACGATTTAGTTTGAATTAGCTTCAAGATAGTTTAACGCTAGGTTTACGGAACACGTCAATTTGAAGCGTATTGAATTTTATAAATATTATTCAGTAAGTATTCACGTTGAGTTTGATTGATGCAATTATACGAATATGTATCCGAATTGTCTATTTTTAAACTCCTAATTTCTAAGATCGAAATGAACGAACATTAACCTTTCTAGGACCAATGGTATAAAGTGCACAGTAAATGCCCGTAAGCCTAGTGTTAAAGTGATATATAATTACCGAAAAGTAAGTGTCGGAAATTCAAGTGATTTTAAAAGTAAATTACAAATTTCAATCATAAATCTACCACCTTATGAACGTTTTAGGTCGAAAATACGAGAGAACGATAAGATAGATGAAATGTTTGTGAAGTACAATATTTTTGCATTGTTTCAAAAGAAAATGAAGGGAAGAATGACAAATAGGAGAAGCGACGAAAGTTCCTCTGGCAATTCAGAATGATAGATACAAAATTTCTGTAGAAAGACTTTTCACGCTATTGTTGCCCGCTGCTAATGAAGTTAAAAACCGTAATCACGAAATGTGTTCGTTCGATCGTATGTGGTTAATTTTTCACGTGACTTCTATTTTGCAATGATCCTGTCGCGGTTACATAATAAATTCTTTACACGCAGCACACTTTGGCTAGTTACCAGCCTCAAAATACGTAGATTCTATCGTAATGAGCTGTAGCATACACCATTACCTGATTTCAGAGATATTGGGGTACTTATTTCGTCGATACTTACTAACACTGCTATTCGACATTTATTTATAACTTCTCCAAAAATTAACGCATGTGGGTGTAGTCTGAAAAACAGACAGTGAATAATACGCGAAAACATGTTGTGTATCGGTCGACTATTTTTTAGCAAGCTACGAAACATCGGCGAAGCTTTTCATTGAATTATTCGCATCTCGCCGAAGAATCTCTTGTGAGACATTTTTCAGATAAATCCGAGTATTATTCTCCCTTGTAATTTATCGTGTAAGTGTTTCCTTTTGGAAAAGAATGAAAAAGAGACAGTTACTAAAATCGTGTTACAGGCATCCGAAGAATACAGAGAGCACAGCACACAAAAAACTCAGAGAACAAGACGGTCCGGTCAAAAGAAGGAGCAACGCGTGATCGAACAGCAGACCTCCAGTTTGCAAGATAGTTCTGCTAGCTCGACAAAGAAGAATTTCAACGTAATCCGTCTGAACAAAATTCGTCTACCATTATCAGCTGGCACAGTAACAGGTAAGTTAAAATATCTTCTAGAGAAACCGCACATAAATTTCCAGAGACCGTTTAACTAACTCATTAACTCTGGCTTCTTGCGAAGAAATTGCTACGATTGTCGCCATTTGTTATCGAATTATATTGACGCTCAAATACCGCTGTCAAGATCTTTCATTCTCGCTTTTGTCTCTTCAGCACATAGTTGGATATTCGAATATGTACGAGTATTAGGATTGAAATTACTACTACGTTTATTTTAATATTATTAGTGACCATTACTGACAGTCTTGATGAGATTGTGAATTTATTTTGCCTTTATTTAGTTTTATCCTGATACGAGTATGTTATTAATATTTGAGAAAAACTGTTATAAATCACTTCTATTATTACTTTTATTATGTTTTGAATGGGTTACCATGAATGGGAGATGCAAACTTGAATAATTAGTTTACTCTAGTGTAAAATTTTTAAATAATTATTGTACCTAGTGAAGATTATTTTTTGTAAACTTGGAACACAATTTGTGTTTATTGAATACTACATTGAATAGTATATTAGAATCATTTGCTGCGGATATTTATAACAAACATATAATTTTTTTTACTGGGGAATTCTAAACAGTACACAAATAACTGTTTTTTAAAATAGTGTGATAAAAATTAATTAGCAGAACATAATAATATTGTTGAAAAATACATTGTCATTTCATTCTCCATAGTTATTGTCGTTAAAACTGTCAATTAATGCAGACTACCATCCATCTGTCATATTTTTAACTTGACAAACTTTTAAACACAATGCTCTCAAACATTAAATCAACTTTTTTATTTAACTAGAAAAAATAACTGTTATTGTTATCGTTATTTTACTTTTACTAGTACATTACTTATATGGTGCAGATATATATACATTTACACGTCTGGCGTAAGAATCTTAAAGATATTGTAAAATATGAAATCTAATGGTATTTAATATGCCTTTATTATACTTTATATTTATTAAAACTGTTTTACTCTAAATAAAACTATAAACTCACGGTTCAATATAAAGTGTTAACGTCTTACGAAAGCGAAGAGCGTTTTCATACAAACTTACTTTATGGTTTTGAGTATTAAATCTATCTTTAGAATACATTCCATGTTACTTGTGTACTTTGAATTTCAAGATTATGAAAAACCATGGTACGTTCATAAAACTTTAATTCCCA